ATATTATATATATATATATATATATATATATATATATATATGTAATACGAATGTAGCAAAAATAGATATTTTTTATGAAAATTTGAAGTTAAGAAATTTTCAAATATATAAAGTATCATAATTTTGCATAATTATTAGCTGTTAGTCAACATCATTGTCATCGTTTTCCTCGTATCGTTCTTTTTCCCTTACTCTTTTCATTTCAATTACTTAATTACATTCTTAACAATAATTGAAATTCGATTCATAAATTACTCGATTTAATTATTAGCTATTATTCATCATTGTCATCGCTTTTTTGTTGTCTTTTCTTCCTATCTTAACTCTTCTCATTTCAGTCATTTAATTAAAATTTTTAGCTATAATTAGAATTTGATTCAAAAATCATTTACCTAATAATTGTTATTATTAATATTTGCTGAATGGTCAATTCTGCTCTTTGATCTTTGTTCTTGTCAAAGTTTAATTAATTTTATGAATTGACTTTTATTCAATCATTAATGATAATTAATTAATTGAACAGATATAGTGTAGATATTTTAATGATTCTAATGTATCTTTATGATTATATGTTATAAGTTATTAAATTTTTTTCTCATTCGAAATTTTTAAGAAATTATTGTTCCTTTTTTCTTTTTTTTATTTATAGTAAATTGAAAGTACAAATATTCTTATCTAATCTCCAACTTTTTTTTTCTCTCTCCCTCTCTTTCTCTCTCTCTCTTTTAATGTAATTGATTAATTTTCTTATTGAAACCTGTAAAATTTCAACTTTTCTTTCTTATTAAAAACTTGCATTTTTTTTCTTTCAGCAAAAGAAAACTTGCTTTTGTGACAATGTTTGTTCGATAAATTAAATTTCATATTTGTTCAATTATTTCAAAATAAATTCGAATACTTTTATTTTGTAAAATTTAGATTAATGCATCGACAAGTTTGAAAATCGAAGATTTGGTATTTGAAAATATTGTAATAACCGAAATAAATAGTAAAAACAACAACAACAACAACAACAACAACAACAACAACAACATCAACAACGACAATAACAACGGCGATAACAACAGCAACAACGACAACAGTAACAACAACGATAACAACAACAATAACGACAACAACAACAACAACAACAACAACAAAAGCAATCTACAACATCGAAATGTATTCATTTTTCTTTTCCATTCTTTTTTTTCCTTAATTTATATTTTAATGACTTCTTTGTTTTCATTTCCACTTTTTTTTTTTTAAATTTGTGTAATTTTGGGAATTAATTAATTTGCAGTATTTCATTATCTGAACGAAAATTTTAATTTTTTTTTGTTTTAAAATTCTATACATTTTGTCACAATGGTAAAATTTTATTTGTCATTATTTTTTTTTTTTTACTTTCTTTACTGATTTTTTTTACAAAATAATATTTAATTTAATAAAGTTATAAATGTATAACTAATTAACTAATTAAATGTTATGCGTAGGAAATTATTGATTCATTTGTGATAATATACGACAGTTTCTTTTTTTTTTAAACTATCAAAATGTTATGTATGAAAATTGTTAGCATTTTCATTTCTGTTAAGATAGAAGAATTAATTTAACAATTAATTATCATTAATGATAATAATCAATTCAATTAGCAATTAATTATCATTGGTGACAATAATTAATTCAATTATATATTTTTTTTTTTTTTGTAGAAAGAAGATGTATATTCAGTGAATGGTACTGTAGCCGTTTGCGACAAAATATCATCGTTAATATGCGATGAAAAATCAACGAAATGCTTAAATCATTGCTACGATCAAAATATTATTAAAAAGAAAAAATCAAAAAGTAAAGAAAAAAATATTATTCGTTCACGTGAATCATCAATAACTTCATTATCATTTCAACGTTCCCTTACGCCATCACTTGATCCAAAATTATTACGACAATTTGAAGAAGAAGATCGTCCTAAACGTATCCTACGTTCATCAACAATTGCTGCAAATACATCAAAGATTACCAGTACTACTACTACTACTACTACTACTAGTATTACAAATGGTTGTAGTATTATCAATGATACATTATCAATCAAACATATCAACAACAAAAATGATTTTACAACAAAAATGGCTGCAAAAAAATCAATTGTTAAAAAAACATTTTTGAAAAAATCAAAAAATCGGAAAAAGTTAGACAAATTTTCGACAAATTTTACAACTAATAGCACATTATCATCATTGGGAAATATTTTTTATTCCAAAGAATTGAATGAAAAAGTGAAACGGAAACGATCACAATCTAAAGAATTCAATAAACAAATTGAATTAAATACCAAACGTTTAAAGGTTTGTTTTTTGTTTACACGTAGCTTGTTTTTGCTTACACATACTTTGTTTTTACTTACACATGGTTTGCTTTTGTTTACATACAGTTTGTTTTTGTTTACATGTAGTTTATTTTCCTTTATGTTTACACGTAGCATCTTTCTGTTTACACGTAGTTTGTTTTTGTTTGCATGTAGTTTATTTTCCTTTATGTTTACACGTATTTTATTTCTTTTTACACGTAGTTTGCTTGTGTTTACTCGTGGTTTGTTTTCTTTTATGTTTA